AAACAATACTGCCGAAACTTGAGAACCGAACCTTACAACAGCACGCTTCTTGGACTGAATTCAGTCGTTTTCTATCAGCTTGGAACAGGTTCTTGCACGAAGCTCCAAAAATGGAACTACAGAGAGGGAGCTGGGCGGGAGGGATTATTGCAACATCGTTGATCCGTCGTGGGTTTATGCTAGTCCTTCTCCTCCTCACTCCCCTTCTCTGCCGTTCCCTGCTGCGCTTCCTCATTTTCCTCCTCCTCCTCCCCTCCTCATCATCCCTGCTGCTGCCTGCTCCTCCTCCTCCTCACCATCATCCTCTTCATCCTCCTCCTCCTGTTCCTCCTGCTCCTCCACCTCCTCCTCGCCCCCTGCCGATTCTCCGCCTCCTCCCCCGTTCTGCTCCTCGTCCTGGCTGCTCCTCGTCCTGGCTGCTCCTCCTTCTCCGCCGTGGCGCTCCCTCCCCCTCCCCTTCTCCCTTCCCCTTCTCCCTTCCCCATTCTCCCTTCCCCTTCCCTTTCCCTTCCCTTTCTCTTCTCCCCTTCTCCCCTCCTCTTCCCGTCCCCCTCCCCTTCCCTTCCCCTTCCCTCTTCCCTTTCTCCACCCCCTCCTCCTCCAGCAAAGTCGAAGGAAAGGCAGAGATACGGGCGCACACCTACGCACACACAACACACACACACACAAACTCGAGCGCGACAAAGAAAAGTACGTGCCATCACGACGAGCACCGCCTTCTCTTTCTCCTCCTCCTCCTCCTTCTCCTCCTCCCTCCTCCCACCTCCCACCTCCTCCTCCTCCGACGACGACGACGACGACACCTTCCTCCTCCTCCTCCTCCTCTTCCTCCTCCTCTACCGAAGACGACAGTGGGAGGGAGGGGGAGGCGCCCTCCCTGCTCCCGCTGCTCTTCGCTCCTCGCTTCTCCTAGCTCCTCATCCTCCTCCTCCTCTTCCTCCTCCTCCTCCTCCTGCTCCTCCTCCTCCTCCTCCTCCTCCTCCTCCTCCTCCTCCTCCTCCTCCCCCTGCTTTCTTCGTTGTCTGACCTTCGGGCCCCCGTCGTTGCGGGCGCTGGATATGGATACACATCTGGCCACTATGGGGCCAGACTTTTACCCATCTCCACTGCGCTCAGCCTTTTGGCGCTCCTTCCCAGACAGTCCAAGAACCAATGGATATGGATATAGATCCTGCCCGCACTCGTGGCCACGACCTGGCGCGGCTGGGTAAACGGGCTTTGATTGACCCCAGGAGTGATGGGTTTGGAGCGGATTTGGACGGGGGCATCCAGGGGGCGGGGCGAAGAATTTGGACAGAAGCGCGCCGCCTGTGCACCCAGAATCCGGTCCGGGCTCAAGTTCGGAAAATCCTCCGAGAAGGTTTGAAAAGTCGAAAAGTCAAAAAGTCAAAAATTGAAAATTCGAAAAGTCATTAGGGTTGGCGAGGTGGCTGAAAGGGTGAAACGTCGAAAACTCGAAAAATCGATCAGAGCGGCTGAAGACTTGAAAAGTCGACAAGTTGAAAAATCGAAAAGACGACAATCCGCAAGTCAGAGAACACCCGGGGGTCTCCCAGGGCGCGAGTGTTCGCATGGTGTGGGGCCTCCGGGGGTTTTCGCATGGTGCAGGGCCTCCCCGGGCCTCCCAGGGCAGGCGTTTTCGCATGGTGTAGGGTTCAGTCGGGCCTGTCCCCCGACAGGGGGATTTTGGACGAGCAGTGTAAAAATACCCCAGGAAATATTCCGAAGTGGTCAAAAGTACTCAGAAAAAAGTCCCCATATCTTTTTTTCAACTATTTTTGAATACCCCCCCTGTAGAGGGACCGGCCCGACGCAAGTGTATAGGGCCTCTCTGGGGATCTCTGCACAGCGTCGGGCCTCCCAGGGCCTGCCCCCCCGAGCGGGAGTTTTCTCGCATGGTGTACAAGGGCGCCTCCCCGGGCCCCCTCCCAGGGCGTGAGCTTTCGCGTGGTGTCGGGCTTCCTGGGGCTTCTCAGGGCGAGGGTTTTCGCACGGCGTCGGGCCTCTGCAGAGGCCCGACGCCATGTGTTCAGCCAGAAATGTTCAAAGAACTTTTCGTGGAAACCACAACAGGTTCTCATAACATTGTTTGGTAGGCCTGCAGGCGAGCCAGGATGCGAGCCTCCCAGGGCGGGAGTTTTCGCACGGTGTCGGGCCTCCGGGGGCCTTCGCACGGTGTCGGGCCTCTGGGGGCACCCCGGGGCGTGAGTTTTCGCAGGGCGCATGGCCTCCCACGACATCTGCGCACTGCGAGCTTGACGTGTCGACTTCTCGACGTTTCGAAATTTCGCCTTGGGCCGGAGGAGCCAGCTCGCCATCCTCCCTCCTCCTGGGTTCCCGCCCACCAGTCACAGTCAACCCGTATAGTAAGGATGCGCGATGAGGATGCCAGGGCCTTGGACGCCCATTTCGAAGCTGTCCGAGCGGGGCGCGGCCCACGAAAGTGGCCAAGGATGGGCCGAGGAGGCAAGGATGTAAGGGTACCCTTGGGAAGGTTGCCCATCCTTCCCACCTGTGCGGGTTGACTGTGCCTCTCTCCACCTCTTCTCCCTCCTGATCACCCTGGGCCTCTTGGGCAGGACCGCTGCAATCCGGCCTGAGGCCGCGGAAGTTCCTCTCCCTCGCGCATTGTCGACCTTTTGGCTTCCAAGCTTTTCGGCTTTCGGCCGAAGCGATCGCTTTTTCGACAAGTCGAAATTGCGACCAAAAAATACGAGACGTCCGCGGCGATTTGATGGCGTTGTTCGCCACGGGGCCAGCGCTCGAACATCGGGCGGCCCACGGACGGCCCAGGCAGCGCCAGGACAGGGCCCGGGGACGGCCCAGGAGATCAAGGACCTCACGGCCGCTACTCTGGCTGGCGGTTCAGGTCGGGCGGGCGTACGGGATGCCCGCGGCGATGTGCCGGCGCTGTCCGCCCTGAAACTAGCGCTAGAACATCGAAGATCAAGGGCCGGCCCCAGGATGGCCCGGATGATTCGGTTGTAATCGGGGACCAGTTCTTCCAAAACCGAACGGCATTATTGTCCGGGAGGCCCCTTGGAAGGCATCAAGAAGCCACAGAGAGCCCCAGCAAGCCCCAGGGCGGCCCAGGCCGTAATACCAGCCGAACTCGATGGAATCGGAATAAGTTTTTGGCAAAATCGGCCGGCGTCATGGCCCAGGAAGCCCTTGGAAAACATCAGGAAGCCCCAGAGGGCCCCAGGAAGTCCTGGGACGGTCCAGGCCATAACACAAGCCGATGTTGGTGCAATCGGGAGACACTTTGGCACAATAGGCTTGTGTCATGGCCCAGGAAGCCCCTTGAAAAACAGCAGAGTCCCGAGAGGCCCCAGGAGGGCCCAAGCCAGAACACCGGCCGATTTCCATGGAATCGGGGCAAGTATGGCAGAATCGGCCGGCGCCTTGGCCCAGCAGGTCCCTGGAAAGCGCCAAGAGGCCCCAGAGAGCCCCGGGAGGCCCCAGCACGGCCCAGGCCATAACACCGGCCGATGTTGGTGGAATCGGGCCAAGTTTTAGCATCATCGGCCGGTGTCATGGCCCAGGAGGCTCTGGGAAAGCATCAAGAGGCACCAGAGAGCCTCCAGACGCCCCAGGAGGCCCCAGGCCATAACGCGGCCGATTTTGATGGAATTGGGGCAAGCGTTGACAGAAACGGCTGGCGTCATGGCCCAGGAGGCCCCTGGAAGCATCAAGAGGCCCCAGATAGCCCCAAGCCCCAGGCCATAACACCGGCCGATATTGGTGGAATGTTGGAAAATGTTGGCAAAATCAGCGCGGACAGCGCCAGAACATCGCCTCGGGCGCCCCGCACTTGCCTTGGACCGCCCGCCAAACCCGAACCGCCAGCCAGCGTGGCGGCCCTAATGCGGCCAGGAAGCCCCCAGGCCCCCCAGACCTCTAGGCGGGGCCCCAGGAGCCCCAGGGAGGGGCAGCAGCAGGCCCCAGAACCCGAGGAGGCCTCCGGAACCTCCGGGGAGCGCGCGCGGGCGCATGGCGGACGGCGGGGGAGGCGGGCGATGTTCTGCTCTCCTGGCTTCCGCGCAGCTGGCGGCAGGATGCTCCTCGGTGCGGCGCCTGCCAGCGGGGCCCCTCCGCCGTGGCCTCGAGGCTGGCTCACTCCTGCGAGACCAGGCAGCAAGCGAAAAACAGGCAAAACTAAGTGGTGACTCTCCATTCTCCAGAGGCCGCCTGGCGCTCGGCCCACGCCGCGCGCGGCCTGGGGCCGCGAGGGACGAAATTTCACATGGGCCTCAAATGCGCGGCGCGCCCTCGCCCTCCTCGCGCGGCCAGTCGAGCCTGCGGCCGAAGCGGCAGCAGGCGAGCGCCCAGGATGACACTTAAGCGCCCCTTTGTCGGGGGGGGGGCCGCTGAGGCAGAGACTCTGACGACGCAGGATACAGATCGCAGTACCGAAGGCGCGGCGCTGCATCATGCCCCACCCCACGCAGGCAGCTGAAGAGGCAGCCCCCTGCCCTAACTACCGAAATCGTGGGCAATAACCCAACTACGCCGAGTAGTTCGGAAGCGATTGGCATGTACTCCGGGAGAGGAGGGGGAGAGGCGAACCCGAGAGTGCTAAACCACCGCGCTGGTCGGTGGCCTGGCACAACGTCGAGCAGCTATGTGTTCCAGACGCTCTCTAATGCGTGCTGCCGCGGAAGGCTAAGACATGGCGCTTCGTGCATATGCGGCTCGAGCTTGCTGCCGGCCAGGATCACTTCTCAGAGGAGGGACGGGCTCGCGGGAGCCAAGGGAGAAGGCGCTGCGTGCACTTGCCGCTGGGCGCTGCTGCGTGTGCTTGCGGCCAATCTGCACAACAAGCGTGACAACTGAGCACGCGACAACCCGGTAAGCTAAGAAAGTGAGAAATAGTCCAACGACGGATCCTGGATCCCCCCTCATCCTCGTCATCCTCCGCACAAAAGGTCACTCCGGCGAAGGGCCACTCGTACGTATAGACCTCTTCCTCGTCTGCTGCGGCCGGGCTGCGGCGGCGCCTCGTAGCGCACCGTGTGCACGGGCAACCCCTGTTCCCGGCCAAATCGCAGCACCAGCGCCGCCTGGCGGGATGCTGACGGAGGAGGAACGACGGGAAGGTCTTCGTGGGAGCGACGAGGGACGACTAACATTTATGTAAAGCTGGCTTCGTGCCGGATTCAGCCAGGTACAGCCAAGGACTGAGCCATGTCGCGACTGATTAGGCGGGATTTGGTCGCAAATCGAGCGAATCTACACCTTGGCCGATGCTGGTCCACTGATCAACCTCCCAAGAGTTGCAGCCTGCAGGAGGAGGGAGTGGGGAAATATCAAAGATCGAAACCCGAGATACTCGGACTTTTCTGGCCCGTGCTGGGCCTGCAAATGAGCAGCGGATCAATGATCGAGATCGAGGAAGGAAGAACTAGGTGAAGGAAAATCGAGCTCGAGGACCGAAATCGAGGGAAGGAGGAAGTAAGGACAGAGGATCGAGATTCGCGAAAATTTCGGACGTGCCTGACCCTTTCTGGGCCTCCACGGGAGGTCTCTGGGGACCTCCGAACTCCTGCAGGGCCTCTGACACGAGGAGGAAGAGAAGGAGGAAGAGGAGGAGGAGGAGGAGGGGCCACTCCGCCCTGATTGTGGACGACAGGTTCGCAGGCCAGTTGGGAAGGCGCAAGTAGTTGCCTTGCCTGTCTTTGTCCGCGGCTGCCTCTCGCTGGTGGCCGCCACGCTGACGCCCCCGGCTTGTGCGCCCCCGTGGCTTACCGAAGAAAAAACAGAGAGGGATGCTGGAGGCGGTGGAGGAGCAAACAGGAGGGGAGGAGGTATAATAATCGTGTGACCAGAAGGAACGCAACATAAAGAACAGAAGGGCTGTTCTGCCATCAGCGAGCCTCGGCCACGAAGAGGTTCCCCGACCAAAGTGTAAAGAACGGTCCCGAAACTAAAGCACCTTCTGAGCCCGACGCAGTCCCTATGCCAACGCCTTGACTGCAACCACCCCCGAGAGGCAGGGACGAGCAGGAGGACAAGGGATGGGGGCCGCAGAGATAGACGAGGCGGACGCGGCCGGGCGGGCGCCAGCCAGGAGGCGGAGGGCGGGGGAGAAGGACGCCTAACACAGGGACGGGAGGAGGAACACCGCGAGGACGAGGCGGAGGACGACGTCAGCACGCCTGACCGAAGGCGCGCCGAAAGCCCCCCCCCGCGCCTCCCACGTGGCCGCGGCCGTTCCGGCCGGCCCGCCGTCGGCGATGCGCCGGCCGCAGAGGGCCTGGCGGGCTGGGCACGGAGGCGGCGGAGAAGTTGTCGACGACGGCGGCGACGACGGCGGCGGCGACGGCGGCGGCGGCGGGTGGGACACGGCCGGGGCGACGGCGAAGCCGTCGCCGGCGGCGTTGTCGACGGCGACGGCGGCGACGACGACGGCGGTGGCGGCGGGGACACGGCCAGAGCGGCGGCGAAGATGTCGCCAGCGGCGGCGTCAACGGCGACAGCGACAACGACGACGGCGTGGACTCCGCCGAGGATCCTCCGAGGACGCCCTGGGGCGCAGAGAGAAGAGAGGCAACAAAAAGGTGATAAAGAGTGGATGCAACCGAAGGGGTGCATCTGGGCAAAATGTGTGCCACCGCACGACTGGCCATCGCTCGGACGTCCATTCCCTGTGCTTTCTTCGGTTTCGTGCGTGGCTTTTTCGCAGGATGATCCAGGATGCTCCTCAATAGTCCCCGCCGAGAAAAAGTGCACACGTCCGAGCGATACCAAGACGATCGAAACCACAACTGCGATCATCCTTTTCCCCCCCCCCGCGTCTGCCTGGGCGACGGCCGCGAGGACGAGGGCAAGGATGACGCGGACAGGAGCGAGCAGGAGCAGGGGGGGAGAGGGAGGAGGGGGGACCAAGAAGGAGGACGGGGCGAAGCGGGAGGGTGACGGAAGGGGGGTGGGCAGAGAGCCTGGAGGATGGGGTGAGGAGGGAGGACGGGCGCGAGGAGGGAGGGAGGAGGGAGAAGGATTGAGGAAGAGGGAAGGCAAGGGGACTGGGAGCAAAGAGAGGGGGGACGGGAGTAGGGAGGAGGAGCGAGGAGGAGGGACGGAGGTGGGCCGCGAGCAGGTGGGAAGGGGAAAGAAGGGACGAGGGAGGGAAGGGGGGGGGAGAGGAGGAACAGGGAAAAAGACAGGGCGGGAGGGATGATAAAGATCGGGGGGGAAGGGAGGATGAGGAGCAGGACAGACGGAGGGGGGGTGGAGGGAAGAGGGAATGGCGGCTAGGGAAGGACGATGACATTTTGGCTCAACCAGATCTTCCCGCCCTCCTTCCCGCCCACCCCTCTTCCCCTGTCTCTCTCTCTCTCTCTCTTCCTCGCTGTTCCCTCTCTCTCCCGTTCTCTATATGTATTGTTCATTTATACACAATTTGCTTTTGGATCTCTCTCTCTCTCTCTCTATATATATACATGTATCCCCCCTGGTTGTCGCTCTCCTTTTCTCTCTCTCTCTCTCTCTCTGTAGCTCTCTCTCTCTCTGTCCCTCTCCTCCTCCCCTCTCTCCATATCTCTATATGTTTGTTTGTCTCTCTCTCTCTCTCTCTCTCAATACATACATACACACGCATCTCGTCATCACTCTCGCTCTCTTGTTCTCTCTTTGCTTGTGATCCCTCTCTCTCACACTATATCCCCTATCTCTCTGTCTCTCTCATCTCGGTCACTCTCTTCTCGCTCTCTCTCTCTCTCTCTTTCTCTCTCATGTCTCTCTCTCTCTCACTCTTTCTCTCTATCTCTCTATACATGTATATCCCTCTCTCTCTCTCTCCATCTACATCCGGTCATCGTCCTCCCTCATTCCCACCAGTAGTCGTTCGCGTTCCTCTCTGTTTCTCTCTCTCTCTCTCTCTTTCTCTCTCTCTCTCTCCCTCGTTAGATGTAGCATTAGTTCGTTATTTATTTAGGTCTCTCTCTCTCTCTCTTCTCGCTCTCTCTCACTCTCTTTCTCTCTCTCTCTCTTTTTTTCTCTCTCTCTCTCTCTCTCTCTCTTCCCCCTCTCCATTTACATCCCGTCACCGTCCTCCCTCCTTCCCTTCAGTAGTCGCTCTTGCTCCTCTCCCTTTTCTCCCTCTCCCTGTATATATGTAGCATGTCCGGTGTATATGTGTCTCCTTCTTATGTATTACGTATATGTGTAGTTCGCTTTCTTCTTATGCCTGTCTGTCGGTCTCTCTCTCTCTTTTTCTTCTCCAGCGTAATTTTGGAGGGAGGAGAAGGAGCGGACACCACCACGCCACAATCCCACCTTTGAGCATGCCTGCTGAGAGCACTGCCAGTGCCGGACAAATGGTCCCATCAAACTGCTCAACATGGCCGTGGTGGACAAAGAGCAGTACACGACCCCGAACGTCTGTGTTGGCGCAGGTGCCTGTCAAGGGGGAAGGGGAGGGGGAAAAAGGAGGGGACGAACGAACAGGAGAGCGGGGAAGGGGGAGACAAGGCTGACAGACAGATATAAGCTCCCCGCGGCTGTATATCATACCAGCGAGCAACATGAGACGGACATTGCAAGTGGGAGGAGCGAGAGGAGCGGCCAGCGGCAAGGAAATGCAAAATGAATACAGGATGTTCTGAAATCGGGCGGACGCAGCCTGACCGAAGCCGAGAGCGGACCAGCGGAGGCTCTCAGGCGCCTCGGCGGCTAGGCGGACCAGAGGAGGCCCAGCCGAAAGGCTGCAACAGGAGCCCACGGCCCCCCATGCACGAATTCAGCCCGAGCACGCCAACAGGCTTGGGCGGCGTGCGGAGGAGGGGAGGAGGAGGAGGAGGAGGAGGAACAACGGCTGGCTAGAGCGAGACTCCGGACAATGCCAGGGAAAGCGCCGGACAATGCCGGGAAACGCGCCGGACAATGCCGGGAAACGTGCCCGACAAGAGCATTGAGCAGTGCCCGGTTCAATCGGCTACGAAGGCACCGGCTGCTGAGCCAACAGTGCCGCGCAGGCCATCGAGATCTGTAAAACACACGAAACTGTGCATCCCGTGCAAAACAGCTCGAGCGACGCCACCAACCCGAGCGGCGCGGGGAAGCGATTGGCCAATCACGGAAAATGCCGGCCCACCTCCGCGGACAATGCCGGGAAGATGGGTGATTCGGCCAGCGTCATTCCGAGACCGCCTTGACCCACATTCCGGCGTCACACTTGAGAAGGGGGGAGGGAGGAGAAGGAGTAGCAGCAGGAGGACATGAGGGAGAAGGACAGAGGGGGACCGATCATCGGACCGCGCTCAGAGAGGACACGTGATAAGACATCCGGGCCACCCTGCCCAGCTTCTCGACGTGCACGGGGGGAGGGAGGAGGAGACAGGAAGAGGAGGCGGAGTGCCGGCCCGCCCCGGAGGGGCTAGCCGGAGATCCGCCTCCGGGAGGCGAGCGCGGGAGGAAGAGAAGAGAAGGGGAACCGGTGCATCCGTAATAAATTCAAGGCCCATGGGGCCGACTGTGATCGCCTTGAAATCCGACGCCGCTAACTCGGCAGTGCGCGCCCGCACCAACAGAAACAAAAACTGCCACGCTACGGTGCCAGGCAATACCGCCTACCGAGGGGGCGGCGGCGCTCGACGACACGAGGCGGCGATTGAATTGTTGTCCCGGCCACGTGGCCGACAGAGGGCTTGTAGACGGCGCCCATGGGGGAGGAGGAAAGAGGGACGAGGACGATGACGACGAGGACGAGGAGGGAGACTAGGCAGCGCGGTTGTCAAGCATAGCTCTGACGCGAATCGGCTGCTTACAATTCTGGCCCACGCCAAAAGTAAAACAAAAAAACACCGGCCACAAGGGGGAAGAGGGGGGAGGGAGGACGAGGAGGGGGAGCGGAGAGGGGGGGGCTCAAATGCAGCCTGCGACAGGGCACGCTCAATCGCCGTCGCCGTGGGCGTCCGCTGCGGCCCAGGAATCCTGCAGCTGCTTCAGGACCTCCGCGAACAATCGGGGGATGTCGAAGCGGGCCCCGGCGGCGCGCCTCAGGATGGCGTGCGCCTTGTAGCCCACGGCAATCATCGTGGCCGCGCTGGCGACCTCCGCGGCGGGGACGCCAGCCTCCCACAGCAGGGCTCGGGTGGTACGGGCCTCCCGGCTGGCAGGGTCAGCCAGGCCCAGTTTGGCCGCTCCGAAGCGCCATAGCACTGGGCAGCAAACGTAGTGCTGGACGTCGTCCTCACCATGCCGGCCGCCAAACACGCATGGGTCCCCCCGCGCGCCGAAGCGGCGGCCCGTGCACCACCCGTTGAGCCAGGTGCGCAGCACGGCCGCCCGCACCCGCGGTGGCGTTTGCTTCGGCAGCCGCTGCATGACCAGCCTGCAGCGCTGGGCCCGCCGGCCTGGCAAAGAGCCAGGGTCGCGCCACTTCGGGACCTTGGCGCTCAGCTGGGCATGCCCCGTGCGCAGCCAGTGCTGGCGCCGCAGGAGCGTCGCTGCTGACGCCTGCAATCGTCGTCTCGCCTGTCTCCAGGTCGCCAGGGTGACTGGGCGGGGGCCTCGGCCCAGCCCCTGCTCCATCGCCCGCGCCTCTGTGACGCCCTGACGCGCCAGCGTGTCCATCGCGATCTGCAACTTTTGAACTGGGCCTCCCGTGAAACAGTCCCGCCACCTCCAGTCGATGTCCCATGAGGCCGGAGCGCGGCGGCGCGCGCGCTGGAGGCGGACGCGCAGCTCGTCCAATCGGATGCGCCGGCGTTGGTCTCCTCCCGCGAGGGCCACCCGGAACTGGGCTGCTGGCCCCGAGGTAGTGAGAGACTGCAGTTGGCACGGCATCTTGAACTCATCCCGCAAGTGCTGGGCGACTCCTGCCGGGAGCCATTGGTGCGGTCCGGGGAAGAGTTTCTGGATTGCCCAGCGCTCCAACGTCTTCCAGTCGGGAGGCTCTCCGTGAAGCTGCGCGACATACTGCAACTTTGAGATGGCAAACACGTTATATGCCAAGGTCGTCAGATGCATGCCTGGCGTGCGACCCGCCCAGCTGCAGACCGCCTCCCAGAACTTCCGAATGGAGGCGTCCCAACCGCTGCCCGCGGCGGCAGGGCCTACTTCGAAGCCCAAGTACGTGCCAGAGCACGCGACCCGAACGGCGCCCCAAGCTGGCACTGCCCGCCGCCAGGCGTCCGCCGCGGCCCCGGGCTGCAATGTGCAGAGATGCAGAAGCACTGTTTTCGCGAGGTTCAAATGCAGGCCGGACGCCGCAGCGAAGATCTCGAAGAGGCGGTGGAGCTGCGGCCACGCCCGGAGGCCGTCGACGCCCACCAGGGCAAGGTCGTCGGCGAAGGCGCAGCGCTCGCGGCGGCCAGGCACAGTGTCGAATCGGCGGTTGAACGGCTCCGTCACAAGCACAAAGAGAAGTGGATTGAGGGGGCATCCTTGGCGAATTCCCGCGGAGATCACGAAGCCCTTCCACCACTGGCCCGCCATCGCGAAGCAACAGCGCTGGCCGGTGTAGAGAGCGCGGATAGCGGCGCAGACACCCCGCGGCAGCCCCAGCTTGCTCAGCACGCAGTGCAAGTAGTCGTGCTCCAGGCTGGCGAACGCCGCTCGCATGTCGAACAAGAGGGCGTACGTGCAGTCGGCTTCCAGCGCCGCTTCCTGCATGGCTGCCTCGAGGTCAATGACGTTGGCCAGGATGGAGCGGCCACTCAACAAGCCCCGCTGGCTCTCGCCCACAAGAGCCTCGATCGCCGGCTCGATGGCGTGCCTGATAGCACTGGCCAGCAGCCGGTTCGACGTGTCCACGAACATCAGCGGGCGCGTGTCCGCCGGACAATAGAAGGCGCCGCCCGCGGGGTCATGCCCCGTGGGTTTTTGTTCGGGAGCAACGCCAGCAGGCTGCCGTTGAAGTCGCAGGCCCCAAAGCGGTTGTCCCCCGACCCGTAGTCGCGCACCATCGCCTCTTCTGCGTCTTCGGCCATCTGGCCTGCAGGGTGTCCGTGAGGGCCTCGACGCCGACCTCGCCGATGCCGCGCCAGAAGTTGTAGGGTATGCCATCTGGCCCAGGGGCCGTGTCGCCGGCGGATTTCAGTGCCCGGCGCACGTGCGTGGCTGTTACCTCGCACCCGGGCATCAAAATCTGCAAAAACGACGTCATCTCGCCGACCCAGGGCTCGATGGCCTCCAGGCTGCGGGCCCCCTTCGCCCACAAGTGTTCTGCCCAGTGGCGGACCGGGGCGGGGGCAGCGCGCTGCGGATCGGTGGTGACCGAGCCGTCTGGCCACTGGACTGCGGACAACGCTTGTTCTGCCCGTGGGCGGAGGCGGCGGAGGGTCTGCCTCGCCCGGCGGCGAAGTCCGCGGACCGCCCCTTCCGGCTCGCCGGCTCGGCGCGCTGTCTGCACTTCCTCCAGTTGGGCTCCAGCCAGGGCCTTCGCGCAGTCGTGGGCCGCGTCCTGGCCTTTGCTAGCCAGGGCCTTCGCGCAGCCGTGGGCTTTCGCTAGCCAGGGCCTTCTCTCTCTCTCTCTCTCTTGTTCTCTTTGTCGTTCTCCCTCTCTCTCTCTCTCTCTCTCTCTCCTATCCCTCACTCTCTCTGGTTCTCTCTCTCTCTCTCTCTTTTCTCTCTCTCTCTCTCTCTCACTCTCTCTCTCTCTCTCTCGCTCTGTATGCCAGTCGGCCTCTCTTTGGTTGTCTCCATGCGTGTCTCCCTCGCCACATCCCTCCCTCCGTCGCTCCGTCCCTCCCTCCGTCCATCCTCCTCGTGCAAATCCCACCTCCTCTATTCGTCATGCCCCACCTCCTCATCGTCCGAGTCGTCATGCCCTCCATTCGTCAAGCCCCCCGTTCTTCTGCTCGTCCGGATCCCATTCGTCATGCCCCACCTCCTCATCGTCCTACTCCCTGCGAGCTTCCCCCCCTCCGTCAATCCGTCCCTCCCTGCTTTCATTACTGCTGCTGCTCATGTCCCTGCGTACAACCTTATCCTCGTTGTCCTCGTCATCGTCCGCGTCCTCATCGTCTCTCCCTCCTCGACCTTCCTGACTCATACTTCTTGTCTCCTGTCCTACTCCACTCTCCGCCCTATTGCCACCTCCCATCGTCCACGATCCACCTCTCACTCCTTCCGTGTTTCTTCCTCCTCGAGACTCAACGTCCTCATCATCCTCCTCCTGCTCCTCTTCCTCCTCTTCCTCCTCCTCCTCGTCATCATTATCATCATCATCAGTATCATCAGTATCATCATCATCAGCATCATCATCATCATCAGCTGCATCAGCATCATCATCTGTACCAGCACTACCATTATCATCAGCATCAGCAGCATCAGCAGCATCATCATCACCACCGTCAGCATCATCATAATCAACAGCATCAGCATCATCATCACCATCAGCAGCAGCATCAGCATCAGCATCAGCATCAGGATCATCATCAACAGCAGCATCATTATCAGCATCATGGTCATCATCAACATCATCAGCATCATCTTCATATTCATCTTCATATTCATCTTCATCATCATCTTCATGTTCATCTTCATCAGCAGCATCAGCAGCACCAGCAGCATCAGCATCAGCATCAGCATCAGCATCAGCATCAGCATCATCATCATACCTCGTCCCTCCTGTATCACGCTGCCTCAACCCTGCCTCCTGCTATCATTGACCGCCCTCCTCCTCCGTTGTCCAGCTGGTCCTCCTCCTTATCCTCCCTCCTCCTTGTCCTCCTCCTCCTCCTCCTTCTCCTCTCTCCTCTCCTTCCCACGTCTGCCGGCTCCTTATCCTGTGTTCCGTCCTCCCTTGCCCCCCTCCTCTGCTGCCTCTCCTCATATCATCCTTCCTTCCTTCCCTCTCTTCTCCTCCACCTCTCCCCATCCCTCCTCCCTCCGCGCCCATGGGCCGCCTGGCACCAGTCCAGGTAGGCCACGTCCGTCGGGGTCGCCGACTGCAGCGTGAAGCGCTCCAGGTCGGCCAGCGGCAGCAGCGGCTCTACCCGGAGCTCCCTCCTCGCGCGGCCGCGCGAGCTCGAGGCGGGCAGGGCCGGGCAGCGCTCGCGCTGGCAGGACTCCTCCAGCCTTTCTTATCCCCCATCGTCATCAGGGTTCCCCTTACTGTATGCGTTGTTGCTCCTCCTTCTCTAGTATGTTTCCTACCCATCCTCCTCCCTCCTCCTTTTTCCTCCCTCCTTCCTCGTCCCTTGCTGATCCTTCCTCCTGCTGCTCCTCCTCCTCCTTCCTCCTCCCTCCTGCCTCTTCCCACTCCTCCTGCTTCCTCGCCCCGCGAAAATAAATCGATAATCTCTGACATCCAGCGGCTCTAGAGGATGTCTCGGGCGCCGCGGCCTTCTCAAAGCGTTTCGGAACTCTCTAAGAGCGTTCCAGACCGCTCTGGAACGGATTTGTCCTCCTCCTCCTCCTATCCTTTTCCTCCTCCTCCTCCTCCTCCTCTTCCTTCTCCTCCCTTTCCTGCTCCGACCCCTCTTCCCTTCCGAGGGTTTCTCACAAGCGGCGCACATGTCCGTATCCGGACCCTCGCGTCCCGGATTCCTCCTCCTCCTATCGAGTAAGCATCTGGCTCAACTCTCGGTCCGTGGACGCGTCGCCGCTG